ATTAAATAAAGAATCCTTAAAATTAAAAGTAATTTTTATAGGATATGGTAATTAGACACTTAAAGTGTTTTCTTATGTTTACACAATCAAAAATAATTCATACTAAAACTCTAAATCAAAATCAATTAATTTCTCTGAAATTGTTAGTTTTTTATAAGTTGCCTATAGCATTTAACCTCTATAAATTATAATTGGACTCAGTTCAAATGATACAATCTATTTGTTTTAATATGACGTTGAAAATATTCTTTCAATTGCTTCATCAAATTATACTTTTGAATTCTCATTTTCATAGTTTTTAGTAACCTATAATAGTATTATAATTTTAATACCAAATAAAGAAATTCAGATACTAACGTTTAATTATAAAAATATCTTTACGTTAAATTAATAATCAATCGATAAATTGTTCAACAATATTAAGTTTGATTCTATCTAAATAACTATGAATATTTAATAATAATCATCTTTTTTATTCATAAATAATATTAATGAAGTCATCATAATATCAATTGATTAAAATAGTTTTCCAATACCAATAACAGTTATTTAAGTTAATTTCAAAATCAAATTAATAAATTTAGTAAGCGAATAATTAATATTTTCATATCGATGTAATAATGGAAATAATATTTGCATCTAAGTTTGGAATGTGTAATATTTACCAAAATACTATTATGTAAAGAATCTATATAGTGTAAATTTTTATAAATAACATAAAAATATAATTTAATAATACTTTCTTCTATGCTACTTTTAGCAATTACATTTTTTATGTTTTAATCCTATCATATGAGTTTATATTATGTGTTAAAATTAAGTTCACTAATATAATGTAGTGAGTAATTTTAATTAATAAGCGAGGGCTTTGTATTTGAAAACTCAATAATAATTTCTAATAATACTTTATATTTAATTTGTGATTTTTAAATTGTAAATCTAATAGTAAAATTAAGCTTTTAATAATTCAATGAGTTACCCAAACTTTATTTATAACTATAATGTAACTTCAGCATTAAACGACACAGCCTTGTAATAAACTCCAAATTAAAGTATTACTTTTTATTCAAACTTAACAATAATATAGAACTTAACAAGTATATCACCTCATATAGCTCCAGATAATATAATCCCTCAATCTAAAAATTTCACATATCCAATGAATTTATTTCTAGAAAGTCGAATAATGTTATCTAAATAACATATATTAATAAAACAAATATTGCAGTCTAACTTAAATTTCTAGTTATTCTAATAGCATTCCTAATATTCATAATTACTCCTTAATTACTTCAATAAATAACGAATTTTTCGCTTAACTTTTACATTGAAACTGTAAATAGTGATTTAACTAATAAATTTAATTTTAATTACTCAAATCTAAATCTGAGTTAATGTTTCAAAACAGCATCATAAAATTATTCACTATATTCACTTTGTTCAAATAATACCTCGGAATATAATCTAATTCTTAACTTTACATTAAGTACCTAAGGCGAATAATAAATCTAAATATTACATCACTTCCTTAAATGTTTATAACTATTGTAAAATCGAGCATCATTTTAAATTATATTTTTATCTTAGGTATTTTAAAAAAATCATCATTAAAATAATAAGAATTGTATTGGCTTAACTAAACCAAAAATACATTCTAAAATATATCTAATGGATGTACTGATTTCTTTGTTTAATATATACAACAAAAGACATTTGACGATAATTAATCACAATAAATAATTATTTTTATGTGCATGAATCGTAAGTAAATTATACACTTATGAGAATTAATAATTAAACAATCCAGCTACAAAATTCTTTTAATGTTCAACTCTATTATTGCAATTAATTATCAATTTGCTAATTGATTGAATTAGAAAAATATGTCTAGATTCTGATCATTGAAATATAGTTAGTGAAAATTAAATAGAAGGCAGGATTATGAGAAGTATTCCAAATTATGGTTTTTCTTATAATGGAGTGAATTCTTTATATTAATATGGGTTTTATTGCAACAATTTTTACATGTCATATTAATAATTCTTATAATATAATTGGAGCTTATTATTTGAATAATCTTTTAGTTGAAAATTTGTTAGAACCGATTTTGATGTATGATTCATTCAATACGACAAACTTTTCTTATGCAATGATTGTAAATTAAGAATAACAACATGTAACATCCCTTTTTTTTTTATAACTAATCTATATGTAATTACTCTTTAAGTACCTGGAATGTATCATGCCTTCTTTATAATGATAAGATAAATGTTTCAATTTTTTCAAATGGTACATTTTTAGTTAGGTTTAATCTACCTTCAGATTTTCGAATTAACTTTGGTCCATCAGCATATGCTCTTTTGTCAATAATTTTTTTACTGCTCTTATATTTTTACTTTAAATTTAACGAAAGACAAGGAATTTGGAATATATCAATCCAGAAATTGAATTATGATAATATTAAGCAGCATATATTTATAAAAATTCATAATCGTTATCAATGTTCTAGATTTAGGATAGTTTAAGAAAGATCTGAAGGTTAAACTAGAGGTTCTTACTAACCAAATATCTATAATCTTCGTTGGCCATTTTTTCAGATTTTACTGAATTATTAATCATAAATGCTCACATAATCTGATGATATAGATTTTATTTGTCTTTCATAAATTATTCATGGTGGTAGCTCCTAAATAGAAATTCCTATATATTTGCTGTTATTGTTTAATAAACAAATATTATTTTATGAAATTTTTGATAAAAGAAGAGATTAGAAAGT